GGTCTTTTAACTTCTGGTCTCTCAGCACGTTTTGGTGAATAATCATCCCTTGGACGTCCCTCAAAAGGTCCCTCCGGTCTCAAGTTATCCTTAGGTCTTTTCTGTTCAGGTCTATGAGTTATTGCTGGTACAATATAATCATCCTTAACGTGTGACACCCCATCAAACGGTCCTTCCGGTCTTAAATTATCATCACGTCTTATATAAGTAGTATTCAGATAATCAGTTTCGTCAAATGTTTTATATTCTTCATGCGTAGTTGTTGTACTCTCGAGTAATTCAGTTTTATTATAAAATCTATCATCCTCTTCTGTGTAAACTGGACGATGACGTCTAGGTTCCCGTTCAACGACATCGTATTTATGGAAATCCTCTTTCAAGTGGGAGGTCCCCTGTTATTTAAAAAAAAAAGAAAAAAAACAGAAAAGAAAAAACAATTATAAAAATTGGTTCGCAATTTAATTAGATTAATTATCGAAGCGTAATTGTAATATTTACCGTGAATTCACCCTCTCCTACGGTGAGGTTATCCGTACGTCTAATAATTTCAGCGCGTTGGATAGTACGATGATCAATAAACTCTGATCTAGTTGTTGTTTCATCTAAGAATTCACCCTCAAGCTTGGTGTATGTGTTTCGACGTACTGGGCTTGGACGTTCGCCGGGTACCCCGGTAAACACCAGCTCTGTTGTAGTCAAACCTGTGCAAAATAATTGCACAATTAAATTAGACAAAATCTTATCTCAAATTTAAGTCTTTATAAATATGCAATAGACGAGGATTTGTATTGCAAAAAAAATATCTCAACGACTGCAACAATAAATGAAATAATAAACGATGTAACATACTTTCAAAATCACCCTCAGGTCTGAGATTGTCTTTTGGTTTGACAACTGGAGCACGTTCGCCATACTTAGGAGTTTCCTCGTCCGGTCTTCCAATAAATTCACCTTCTGGTTTAAGATTGTCCTGTGGTTTTCTGGTTGGTGCCCTTTCACCTCTGGTTGGTGCTTCTATCTTTGGCCTTCCAATAAACTCACCCTCGGGTTTCAGATGGTCTTGCGGTTTCCTTACAGGTGCTCTCTCACCATAAGTGGCCACGTAATCGCTACGTCTCTCTCCTACAAATTCACCTTCCATGTGGAGGTGATCTTCATGATGGTATCTGTGTTGTCTCTCTACGTGTTTCTCATCAAATTCTTCCCTATACGAACTAACTATATACACTGGTTCATCCCGTGGGATTTCTAAATGATCTTGGGGTAAATTGTGTGGACAACGATGACGTCTGAAAATATATACAAATAAATAATAAATGTAGGCATTACGATTATTGACGATTAAGAAAATATTTATTTGCTTTATAGATTTATTAATAATAATATTTATAGACGATGACTCAAATTAAAAGAAAAATGTGATCTGATTAGAGTGAGAGTAAATCTCGTAATAGCCAACGCCCATCATCATCCATAAATCCTTATTCGTATCACGCGAAAACCTTCGAGAAGGATTCACCTTTTATGGTGTAAAGAAAAAAAAAAGAGCATGGTCGCACACACGTGGCCAATTTTGAATGCAAATATTTCAGATCCGTATACGAATCATTATTTTCAAGGCTCATTAGTCATATATATAATATATAATATTATACTTTCATGTAATTTCAAAAAAAGAAGAAAAATTGAAACAAAATTTGTGAAGGATAAAAATTAAAAGAATATATATATTTATATTAAAAAATAAATGTTCGCACACATAAGGCTAATAGTACACGCAAAGTGAATTGAATATTTAAAGCTAGGAAATATTCTAATTTCTAATCATAGACTGAGTTAGATAGACAGGTAAGTTAGACGAGAGCGTCAATCGAAATGATGAGAACTTTAATGGTATGCATCCTATAGAAGAACCAAGCCCAAAGCCATAGGATCCCCCTTTCCCCCTTTTCTCTCTCCCTATCACTCATGTATTAGAAATTGGCTTAAAGTTCTCTCCTCTCTCTGTCTTCCTTTAATTATGAAATTCAATAGTTGCTTTGAACCATACACACACACACACACACTCACTCTCTCTCACTCTGTGTGTCTCTTTAATCTCAATATTAAAATTGTATGTATTATATATTTAAAATTTCTCACTAAAATCTAACCCGGTATATAGCTTTTCAGAAAAAGTATTTTAAAAATATTTACAATATTAATAAAATGATTGACATTGCGAAAAATAGGAAGACTAGTTGTATATTGGATAGATCGTTTGAATTATTATCGATGTTGAGATAATTTGCTATCGATATAGATCATCTTAGTTTTAAAAAATACTCTGTATGTCATCTTGGAATACTGGGTGATACTAGTAAGAGCCTTGAATAAGAAATACGAATGCGAAAGGTGATCGAAAAGAAACAAGTTGCCATAAAAGGGTTGCGTCTGGTGCCCTACTTTTCCCATGCTAAGACTTACACGTTAATATGAAAGTAGGACACTAGATTTATACATACAGGGTGTCCCAGGGTTTACCGGTTAAATTCTGGAAACATATCTTTTTTACAAGTTCAAACTAAACTCGATTAATCTGTTCATGTGTTAATATAGAAAATGAAGTGAACTTACCCACAAGTACAGAGTTCACAAATGCACTGTTCCTTCAATGGAATACGTGAAATAATTTCCGATGGTGTTGGTGTTATTTCAGATTCATCTAAAGAGTCCGGAGTTTGATCACCGCGTCTTGGTTTTCCTGGCTTTTCTTCTAAATGACTGGGTTTCAGTGGAACAGTTGGTTTATCATCGGAACGACTGGGTTTTCCAGCAGCTGGTCTAGAATCAGGATAGCTGGGCTTGTCTTCGACTACTCTTTCATCAGGTTCATCAAGATGACTTGGTTT